TCCGCGTGTGAGTGTGAGTGTTTGTTCCAGCACACTCCCTGATCCCTCCTGCTCTGCTCTACCTGGAAATATTTTTACGGTGTGATGGCGGGGGAAGGAGCGGGGGCGGGGGGTGGGGTGGAGTGTGTGACAGTCCATCCTTGCCAGCACTTCCCAACTCCCTGGCGACATCTCCAGAAGCACGAAACACGCGGAGAAAAAACCTGAAAATCCTTGGTTCTCCCCACCACCCATCCTTTGAAAAACAAAGCAGCAGCCTATCCCGGCCGCCCCGCGTCCCACACCCTGCCCATGGCGGGTGCGTTGGGGGGCGCAGCCCCACAGCCCCGCGACTCTCCCTCTGCCGAGAACTCCCCCGCTTATCTATATCCACAGCCCCCCTCCCCGCAATGCCATTTCCCACACTCCCGAAATTTCTGAGTCCCTTCAAACTTCGCTACCGCCGCTCTCGCCTTTAAAGGGCCGAGCGCCAGCAATAGTGTGTGGCGAGATGTCTCCCAGCCGCGACTACAAAGGTAAATGATTTAAACAGTGTTTGCTAGGACCACGTTTCGCCTAGGAAAAGATGAAGTCTTTGATGATGGCCAACTCGGTGTCAATAAGTGGCTTTCTTTGAGCCATATTCAGATGGGAACGTCTTGCTTGCCAATTGCCATAGAAATCCTAACACACCATGAAGATTGTCCAAGCGCCAAGCCTTCCGTTCTGGGCTAAATTACTTTGAAGTGGGGCAGGACGTGCACTGGTCAATGTTAACTCTATAGGGCGGGCAGGGAACACTAGGAGAGGGAGGTTGGAGGGGGGGGAAGCAGAAAATAAGAAGGGGAAACTTGTTTTAGACACTCTATACAAGGTTCTGCTCATTGTCAGATATCTTTTATCTTTTATATTTCCCATGAATGATTCATGTCTCGGTGGCTTTGTGTCGCCCTCCTTTTCACAAGAAACTTCATTAGGGAGCTATAAGTTTTCCCATTGATTGGAGCCCTCATTTATGAGTGTTTTTCTGCTTCGTATGTTGGTTATTGTCATTCTGCTTGAAACAACTCTTTGCAACCTGTTTCACCTTTACCACATTTAACAAAACTGACTTAAAAAACACTCTAACCTTTTGGTGAAACTGTTCTTGACATTTTGACCAGTCATTTTCGAGCACTGGTAAATTACGGGGCGGGGGGCGCAATCACTCCGGGCAAGTTTCATTTAGTTCATTTTATTTAAAAAGAAAATTAGAAGGAGAAATAATCCAGGAGGATGCTGACACACGATTCTGTCCGGGTTTTTTCACTGGTTTTACTCAGTTTTCCTCTCCCGAAAGGAGAAACTTGTCCTTACTCAGCTTCTAAAAACTTGGAGGTTTTTATTCTCCTTCATTCCAGTGATTTCCTGGCGTTATTTCTTGTCTGACCTCACTCTGTGTTTCAGAATCATCTTCTGGCATACGGTTTCGCTTCTATGGCTACTACCGAAAAGCAGTGCTATTTAACTCATGAGTATCCTCAAGAGAATATTGCGAGAAAAATCCCCCTTTCTTCCTTTTCTTTTTTTTTTCCCCAACAGAGATAAACATTTTAATTGCTTTGATTTGATATTCCGATTAGCTGTCCTTGAGAGAGATGAAGAATGTCATGTGTATAAATGTCTGACCTGTGTCTGTGTCTTACCTCTGTCTGTCTGTCCCTCCCTGTCTTACCCCTGTGCACGGGATGCCAGCAGCAGAGCATCCAGCTGCTCCATCATGACCAGGCACCCCAAAATCCTCTGCCCGGCCCCCGCCCTTAGCCCGGCTCAGGGGCAAACACCCTCAGGAGCAAGGCCCGCAGCCTGGGGGGAGGCAGGGCTGACTCTGCCCAGAGCATCCCTCCTCTGCCAGGCTGCAAACCCAAAGGTAAATCCGCAGGAGAACCCGGCTTACTCACACGTTTCGCTGGGCAAAGGCGGAGTATCTCAGCCGCCCCCGACACCTCGCGGTGCTGCTCCTGCCGAGCTGTGAGGCTATAGCTGGATCTGAATCTACCTGCTGACCCTCGGGAGGAGAAGGGGGTGTTTTGGTCTGTCTCTGCCCCTTGTCTGTTAGTAAGGCACATGCAATACATAGGCATAATATTTTTATTCATTTGCATGATTTTTTTTCTTTTTACGGGGTTTACAGAGATTGAAAGTTTTAAATTAGCATTTTTTTTATTTAGGAGGTATCATGTGTCATAAAACTGTTGGGCAAGTGTGTGACCCTAAGTGTAGCAAATACATAAAAATAGTGATATATCCCCCCGAGCTATAGTTTATAAACCCTGCCATGTCGTAATGTATAGTGCAATTTGTTGTTGAAAAAATGCATAAATTAAAAAGTTCGTTTATAAATCAGCACCAATATATCTCTAATAAGATTACATTACATAAATTATTTTTTAAAAGTTCATACCTTACTTTATTATTTTCTATTATTTCAAATGAGTTTTGAAAAACGAATAAAAAGCAAATCAAGTGAACTTTAAAAAATTATTTTCTATTCAAGTTTTCTGTTTGTTTTCAAAGTAACGCCTGCTTCTTTAGATCCAACACAACAGTATGAAGACAACGTTTAAAGGCTTCCAGAGTGACAGCACCATGCACTGTACTAATAATATAATATCTCTATGAACTATACATATATTTATATATTATTAGCACCAACACACCGCACGGAGGACATGCAGGAAGAGTCTATTTCACATTACATCGTTCATTCAAGTAAGCTGAAAAATATAATGATTTTTTTTTTGTACAAACCACATCATCATAAACAACAATCTATCACCAAAATTAATAAGATACTTCTTTGGTGTGCTCTGTACTGTTCCAGGGGAATCAAAAAAAAAAAAAAAAAAAAAAAAAAAAGGGTGATGTCAGAAAATAAATTAATTTGACTGTACAAAATAATCGCGTTCACATACACGTTATTAACAATGACAAGACGACATCCACCATTCACGGCACACAAAACACATTTCCACAAGCCCTGGGGGAGGGGAGGAAGGCTGCCGCTTCTTCTCTCAGGGTCTCTGAGGAGGAATTAGTGCTCTTTACTTCATTTGCGCCCCGCTTCTGACTCAAGGGCTCTAGGCCGGGGTGTCCCCCGTGCCCCGCAGCCCCTTGGCTGCACGGCTGCGTTGTTAGGGGAATATGGGGAGGTTGGCACCCTGACCCCAGCCTGTGTCCCCACCCCTGGCTTCCTTCCCAGCAGCTCTGGTCCCCACCTCCCAGGTGACTCTGCTGGGCCACTTCAGGGAGATGGTGAAAACACGCAGGCATCAGCTCGGTTGGAGAAACGAAATAATATACATAAAAAATAATAATAAAAAGATAATCCCTCTATGCCTGCCCCCTACTCCGGGACTTGTCAGGCCCAGAGGGCTGCTCCCTCTCCCAACCCCTCAGGGGGCTGGAGGGACCATGAGGCAAAATCTTGAGAGACGAACTTAAAAAAAAAAAATCAGAGTAATAATAACACCAACCCCAAGAAAAGGAAAATTCGCTGGTTTTGTGTGAGTGTTTTAAGGAAAAAATAAAAAATGTATCACAGTATCACAGTTGTCAAATAGCAGCGTGTTTCTTTTATTCTCTGGCTACGTTTTAGGAGCCATACAAGTACAAACTGTGGAGGAGTGAAAAAGGAATCCTGCATCTTTTGTCTTTCCTTTCGTAAATCGTTTGCACAATGTTACGGCAAAGGGTGAAAGAAAGGCTGGAGAGAAAACGCCGGGTGCAGGTGGGACCCCCCGACTGGGGAGAGAAACCATCAATTACAAAGGAGCTGAACTGCAGAAGAGGTGGGGAAATGCATCTATCTAATTTTATTTTAAGAGATGCGCAACCTGTCCTTGACTGGCCGGAGCTTCAGCAGGTGCTGCTTTACAGTCAAGAGGCTGCTGCTGTCCTGGGGCTTTACCCAGGCCAAAGAGGAGGCGCTGGCGTGGCAGCTAAGGTACTTAAGAGCCATTCCAGAGATCGGCTGGGTTCTGCCTGCTCGCAGCCTTCGCCAGCTATCTCTTGTTAAGAGCAATGGGCATGGGCAGAGTGGAAGATGGACATCTCCCTTGGCACCGTCCCCCTGCAAAATTGTGCGGGTCGGGTGACTGGGACGGCCCAGCCTGGCGTTATTAATGCTTTTATTTGAAAAAAAAAAAAAAAAAAAAAAGAGTCCGAGTCTCTTTAATTAAATTAGTTACCGTACAAACACCATAGGGTTTCGTACATGGAATAAATAGCGCAAGTCAAACCTGATGGCACTTCCACGGCAGCCCTTGGTGCCAGGTGGCTGCCGCTGCGGCCCGGGCCAGTGCGGTAGGGCCGGGGCCACCGGCAGCTTGGCACGGCTCGGCACGGCCCTAGGGAGCAGTTCTGCCTCCCGAGGTCCTGTGGGGCTCGTCCTCCTCGGATGCCGGGGAGGTGTCGCGGCTGGAGGGGGTGCGGGGCCGGCGGGGAGCACCCCCGGCCTGGCAGACGTACCACTCGCTGAGGTTGGTCACCGGCGGGGAGAGGGCGGCGGCGCGGCCGCGGGGCGGCTCGGCTGCCGGGTCATCCTCGGGGGGCAGCGGGCCGTCGGGGGGTCCCGCCGCCGCGTAGCCCTGGGAGCCCGGCGGCGGGGAGGGCGGCGGGGACTTGCAGTGGATCTTCATGTGCTTGCGCAGGGAGCTGGGGTGGGTGTAGGACTTGTCGCAGCCGCGGATCTTGCAGTAGTAGGGCTTGTCCGAGGTGTGGACGTGGGAATGCTTCTTGCGGTCGCTGCTGTTAGCAAACTTCCTCTCGCAGCCGTCGAACTCGCACTTGAAGGGCTTCTCCCCTGCCGGGACACAGCAACAGCACCGTTACCGGCGGGCAGGGCCCCGGCCGTGCTCGGAGCCCTCCCGCCGCACCGCAGCCCCTCCGCAGCGCGGCCCCCGGGGGCCAGCAGCAAGGGTAAACCTTCCCCTTCCTTCCTTTTCTTCCGCTTTCCCTTTTTTCCTCCCCCTTCGCGACAGTCGTGACATGCCCGAGGTTTCCGACTTTTTCCCCGTGTTTTGCTGCCTCTCACGCGTCGCTGGCAGCCCTCAGGGCCGGAGTCCCGAGCTGGCGGCAGCAGGGCCCCCCCGGCCTTGTTTGCCGTCTGCGGCGCTCCCCTCGCACACGAGAAACCTTCATTACCGCTCTAATGACCGAACCCAAACAAAACCTCTCAATGCCTTTGCCTGCGAGGGCTGGCGTTTGCCGGCAGCCTGGCTCGCCTGGCACATCTCCTGCGTAATCCTTTCCCAATGGGCACTGCGCTGGGGGAATAATTAGTTTGGGGGAAAGAAAAGTAACACCTGTTTAAGCATCCCGACACAAAGAGGGAGCACCCCGCAGCCTTGACTGGGAACCTGCAAGCTAGGGGGACCAACCCAGACACCGGAGATGAGGACAGAAGACTGCTGTTACCGTAGCTGGTTACCCTGGGCAAATTTGGGTCTAAATGTGTGCGGATGAGCTACCTCTAAGAGTTTTTACACATTGCTTAATAGTTAAAGGGGTTGTGAAAATCAGCCCGGGGCGGCTAGCTTGGCGTACCTTTCTCACGCACGCTCGTCTGCTGTAGCATACCCTGGAATACATATGTTCTGGTACTTATAGCCATATCCTTCCCCATAGTTCCGGAACCGACCCTTCCTGCTAGCTCCCGAATAGGGCTGGATAAATGCCTATTGCTGAGACGCCGGAGGAAAAAGAAAATAGTGCCAGATCCCTGTACCGAAGCTTCTTACAGCAAGTTTTTCTCACTCTACCATGCTACACGTGAGTCCAGCACAGACAGACCTGCACTGATAATCTTTGTCATGACTATTGCGACTCTTGAGTCGTTTTAGACATGGCTAATGCGTATTTTCAGATGTGTTTTGCTCTGAGGGGTCAGAAATAACAACCAAGCAGCTCTCTCGGTGGACATTCTCTCCTTATCACCAAGCGATTTTTACTGCTCCTCCCGTTTGTAAGATCATATCACGTTTATTATTTATCAAAATAATAATGGAAATAAGAAAACTGTTTTTATTTTTATAAGCAATTTCTTGGCTGCTATTATAGAAACATATACTGCCACAGCCTATTTATGCATCATGATTTGTTCAATTAAAATCGGCTCACCTACCACCAAAGTGGTAGCACTAGAAAGTGCAAAGTTTATCTAAATAAATAAATAAATAAAAAGAGAGAGAGAGGAAAAAAATATTAAAATTAAAATTGTGCCTCGTGGGTTTTAAGTGCATAAAAACCTCTGCACACCCCTGAGACAAGTTTCCGGTCACTTTGTTTGTTCATTATTTACTATTACTTCCTCCAGGAAAGCAAAACAAATCTACTGGAGGTTTTGGGTAGTTTCTATCTATGTTACCCCAAGGACGAAGGCTCACACATTCTGCCGCTGGCCGCGACCCACAGAGCCCGAAGCGCAGCCCCCTGAAAAATGCTCCAACCAGCGGGACCAAACCGCGTCCACTCCGTCAGGGTTTTAGGGAAGTGTCTTTCCACTTGGGTTCACTCGTGGGCACCCTCGCCAGATTCCAGATCGCGACGATCAAATTCCCCATAATTCCAGGACTGGGGAAGGTCCCGGTGTGTCCCCGTTCCGCTGACGAGGGCATCACGTCAGAGTTTAACCATTTGTAGGTGGTTTCGACCCGCGGAAGGGGGCGAGATGTCGGGCGCCGTCCCCTAACTCCTCCTGGCAGCAGCAGTGCCGGCGGCGGGGAGGGGCACAGATGGGCTTGGGGGTCACTTTTTTTGGAGGGTCTGGGAATCGTTGGAAGGAAGCCTGGCCATCCTGAGCATCGTCTTTGGCGAGGGGACAGCAAAATTGCACGAGGGACGATATCCCCATTCCCGCTAGAATGCACCGGGTGTGGGAGTAGTGATTTGTCCCCAAAATGGGGCAGTAGCTGCAGAGTGTGGTATGCAGCCCCCGGCATGATGCTTTTGAGGAGAAGGAAAAAAAAATAGTCCCGAACAACAAACGTCTCCTGAATTACTGCAATACTCTTCTTCCTGCAGGATTACCAGAAATATTCAAAGTCGCCTAATGATACGATTATGGTATTATTGTTTTTTTCCCCCGGGCGCCAAATGCCCATAATAAATGAATAGTTTGTAAATCTCTCCTGCTCCCAGACTGCACATGACTAAGTTAGAGATGAGGTGGAAAAATTACAGTAATTAATCCAATAGGAACGGGCAGAAAGTTTGGGATCCCTTGTCCACTCGAAGGCGTGGGGGGAAATACGTAGGAAAAGACTCCTGTCCCCTTTGCCCTCCCATGGGCCGAGCTGTCATTCGAAGTGGGCCATTGTCCCCCACCCCAGGGCTGCTTTGGTGCAACGACCCCTTCTGCGTGGATAGAGCCTTTCCCTATGGGCTCACGCACCCGGGGACTACGGGTAGCCCCAAGCTGAAAACCCCTCCAAATTTCCCTAGCAAGATGCTACGTCCCACGCATTGCCTCGGGGAAGTGTTTGACCTCATCTAAGGTCCTGATTATCAAGCGTGCCTGATACGTATTTGGATTTTGGTAGGGGACTCTTTTTCCCGCTGAATCTCTCTGCCTCCCCGCAAGACTCTCCTCGACTCCTTCCCACCTCCCTCCCGTCTGCCCCTTGGAGCGGAGATGGGTAAGGAGCTGAGGAGCCCAGAAAAGTCCGCAGTGAAGTTTTGTTTTTCAAATCAAGGCAGGTGAAGAAAGCTACAGATGACAAAACGGCGGGCCTCCAACTAACTCATTCCACGGTGTCGTTAACACAATAACAACAACAACAACAAAAAGTGTCAGACTTTACCCCCTCCTCTCCCCCCGAGAAATTTCCCCCCCACACACCATCCCCGGCCCTCGGTGTAGAGCACTAGGCACCCTCAGGGCTCCGCTGCTACATATGGCCTCATGCCTGACATATTCTGGAGATAAAAATCTATAATCCTTTCAGCCATGGGCCATTTGGTTTTACATCGGAACAACACGTTGTACGGTCGCCGCTTTTCTACTCCCGAGCAGCAAACAATAAATCAAGAAAGCAATTACGGCAACTCCACTTCCTTAAGTATCCTCCAAGGAATAATATTTGTCTGCCACTATAAATTCCGGCTTCGTTCGTTTTCGGCAGAGTCTTACACCCAGATGGAAATGCGTATTTCGGGAGTGGCAAGGAATGAGGAGAAAGTGAGGGAAAAAAAAACCAACCCAAACAAAAAAACCCACCAAAACTAAACCCAGAAAAATTAAACGCTAAAAGGCTCAAATACACCCCAAGCCTTTCCAGGAGCTCCCGCCTGTCCCCCGAGGCATTCTCCGGGGGTGCCGCTCCCTCCTCCCGTACCCCACCGAGCAGTCGGGGCGACTTTGAAGTTTTCTTCTCAGATGCACAAAGGGAGGGAAGCGTCTCCGGTGAGAGCCTCCCCCCACCTCGCTCCCTGCTTCCCGACTCCGCGGGTACTGCCGCAAGCGGGAGCAGCCCAGGCAGCACCAGAAGCCCCGGGACCGGAGTCAGTCCGGTAGCCCAGCGGCACGGGCAGCCCCGGCAGTGCCCTCAGCATCCCCGGTAGTTCCGCAATATCGATAGCCCAGGCCGGGGGGTACACACGGCAGCATCCTTGATCCCGGTAGTGGGGCCAGTGCCGGAGCGGGGATAGCCCCAGGAACGCTGGTCACAGGGGCAGCCCGGTAGTCCCGATAGCACCGGCAAACCCGAGCACCGCCGCCCGCAGCGTAGGGGAACTGCGCCCCCAAGAGCCCCCGCCGCCCCATCTCCGTCGGGCCAAACGTCACCCGCCCAGCTCCGTCCCCGCCGACAGAAGCGGCAGGAAGAGCAGAACCGCCGTCCTTCGGCGTGACGGAGGGAAACGGCAAAGCGCAGCGCTTCCCAGACGCGGGGTGAGCCCCCCACGGTGCCCCGGACAAGGGCGGCGGGAGCAGGGACGGACGAGCGCTCATCCTCTCCTCCCTCTTCCGCAGGGACTGCTGCTCATCTTCTCCCGGCTCTGCGTTATTTATTAATCAGTGTATTTATCCGGTGGTGCCGGGATGTGGGGAGGTGGGTAGCGGAGGGGGTGGGGGTGGGGAGGGAGCTGCCCAAGGTGAAGGGGGGGCTGAAGGGGGGGACGGGACACGTGTGTGCAGGGCAGAGGGGCCGGGTGCGTGTACGTAGCTGTATGTGCGTGTCCCGTGTGCTGCCGAATTATTTATTCATGAAAAAGTCACATGTCCGTTGGTGCGTAGGAGTGGAGGAAAAGAGGAGGAAAGGGGAGGAAAAAAAAAAAAGAAAGGAAACCCTTGCGGGGGAGGGGGGTGGGGGGGGGGAAGAACAACCCACCTGTATGAGTCCGCTTGTGGATCTTGAGGTTTTCGGAGCGAGCGAAGACCTTCCCGCAGCCGGGGAAGGGACAAGGGAAGGGTTTCTCTCCCGTGTGTACTCGGATGTGGTTGATGAGTTTGTATTTCGCTTTGAAGGGCTTGCCTTCGCGGGGACACTCCTCCCAGTAGCACACGTGGCTGCTCTGCTCGGGCCCACCGACGTGCTCCACGGTGACATGGCTCACCAGCTCCTGCATCGTGCTGAAAGTTTTGGAGCAAGGCTTCCTACCGCCCGGTGGCGGCGGCGGAGGTGGAGGAGGCGGCTCCCGGTCGATCCACTTGCAGATCAGCTCTTGCTTGATGGGCTGTCGCATGTATCGCAGGAAGGCCCCAGCCGCAGCCGCCGCGGCCCCGACGTGGGCATGGTGGTGGTGGTGGTGATGGCGGTGGTGATGGGGATGGGGGTGGTGCGGATGCCCGTGGCCGGCAGCCGCCAAGTTGAGGTTGACGGAGCCGTAGCTTTGCAACGCCGAGGATGAAGAGGCGGCGGCGGCCGCCCCGTAGTGCGCCTCGGCACGCCCGTAGAGCTCCCCGGCGGCGGCCGCCAGCCCCAGGCGCATCTGCCCGTTGAGCGGAGGGTGGCGGCCGGCGGGCGCGCCCTGCTCGCCGGGCGGCGGCGGGAAGGCGGCGTGCGCCCCGTCGGTCGCGCCGTAGGTGCCGGCGGCCGAGATGAAGACACCGTGCGGTGGCGGGTGCGGAAGGTGGGGGGAGCCGGCGGGCGGGTGCTGCTCGCCCAGCGCCCCGTGCACGGCGGCGGCGGCGGCGGGCAGCTCCCGCCGCAGGAGGAAGTCCCGGCCCGCCGCCTCCCCCGACGGGTATCCCGGGAGGGCGGCGGCGGGCGGCGCGTAGGCGGCTGCGGTGGTGGCGGCTGCGGCGGTGGCGGCGGAGGCGGCGGAGGTGGTGGCGGCGGGCGCGGCGAAGGCGGCGGCGGTGAGCGCCTCGGGCGTGAGCTTGAGGGCGGCGGGCTGCGCCATGTGCTCGGGTCCGAGCGGCGTGAGGGCGCCGCCGGGGTCGCCGCCCGAGTCCCCGGGGTGGAGGTGGGCCGCGTGATGGGGGTGGACGTGGTGGTTCCCCAGCCCCGGGAAGCCTGTCATGTTCTGGTGAGGATGGGGCTGAGCCGCTGCCAAATCCGCTAATCTCAGTGTCGGGTTCCTCTTGCTCAAAGGGGGCTCCATAACGACACAGCCAAGCCCATCTACGCTCGCTGTTGTTATTTTTTTCCCTTTACCCGCCTTCAAAAACATGTATATATTAAGCGGCTCTTTAACTTCTTTTGTCTGCGCTCCGAGCCCCGCGCATCCCTGGCCCCGCTCTGCCCGCCCGCGATTGGCAGAGCCCTCACCACACTTCGGCGGCGCGCTGGGGAATACGGCTCGGACACCGCGCCGGAGGGATTGGACGGATGGCGATGATTGGCAGCGGCCGGGGCCGCGCGATTGGCTCCCTTTCAGGCCGCCGGCGCAGCGGGGATCCGCCCCCGCCGCCCCCCCGGGCCCCCCCGCGCCGCCCCCCGAAGTTGCACTTGCAAAACTTCGCGCGGGGCCCGACGGGGCGCACCCCGCGCCTCCCCCGCCGCCCCCCGCCGGCAGCACCGGGCAGCAGCTCCCTCCGCTCCCCAGGCACTGGACGGGGCGCCCTGCTCAGGTGCTCCGCCGTGTTTACGTTTGCCGTGGGGTTTCTCTCTTCGCCTGGCGGCAGCCCACGCTCGGCTGCTGCCCGGCTCAGTTTCCTTTCCTTTTTTCTTTTTTTAGAGGGCCACGTTCATTCATGGATGGGGCGGGAAAGCACTCCCTCATGCAACAATGTGCGCAGCCCCACACCCACGCGAGGCCGAGGCTGTGTGTACTCATGCCCAAGGCACCGCTAGGGGAAGGCGGCCAAAGTTTCCCTAAAAAGAAGACGGCGGGGGTTGGGATTCCTTTCCTTTAGAAAATAAACGAGTAAGCGGGGAGGGGAGGAGGAGGGGGGAAAGTGGCACATGTTAGAGCGAAGTTTTGGGAGCCTGCGCTCGCTGCCGCTTTGGGGCTTCCTTCTCCCTCAGCGGTTTCCCTGGGCATCCCGTGGGGAGAGCTACCCCACGCCCCTCGGCGGTCCAGGCAGCTGCATCCACTTCAGCCCAAATTCAGCAGCGGCGAAATAGAGATGAAACCCCCGCAGTGATACTGGCCCCGAGCATAAATGCTCCTCGACTCTTTAGGATGTCGGAACGGGAGGCGGGAGGTAGGTTGGGAAATGGGGGAGTCTCCGGCTGGTGGGTGTCGGCCCTGAGCTGCTGCCCCAGACGAAAAGGCAGAAAAAGTGGGAGCTCTCCTAAAAGGGGGCAGAGGTAGAGGACGGGCGGGGACAGCGACGGGACTGCCCCTGGGGTGCAGAGTGTTCTGGTCCTCGAAAGCGAAGCTCTTTGTGGAGCCGAAAATGGCCCTTCGGCACAAAGGGTGCTGCCCTTTGAGGGGGTTGACTAGGCAAGGCCGGGATTTCCCTGGGAGCCAAAAGGGAAAAGGAACATTGTCGTGACTTTTCTGTGGGAGGAGAAGTAGGTTTTATTGATATGTCATCTGCTTTCTTCAGGCTGTTGGTCCCCTGGGAATGCCTTGAGCTCCCGCGCTCCTGGAAAGTGCAGGCAAGCTGGCTGCCCTTCCCTGCCTGCGGGACAGCCAGGGACTCTTCTCCGTCTTTCCCGGAGAGGAAACGGGGCGGGGGACGCCAGTGGACCCACACACACCTCCGGCTCTCCCCGGCCACCTAATCCCCTTGACGAAACTACATCTGTGCGTCTTGGCCGCTTTCCTGTGCCAAGCCACGTTCAAAGGAAGCCCCGTGCTGGTCCGGCATTTCCTGGGCCAGGCTCCAGGCTCCCCCTCCTCCACCCCTCCCGCCGCTACTCGCGGGGGGAAAACTCGCAGGATTTGGCCCACGCCTACCAAAACGGGGGTGAGAGGCTCTCAGGGGAGCTCAAGGGGGAGCGAGACCCGCTAGTTCCCTCCCTTCTCTCCCTTCACTGGAGACAAGCCAATGCTCTCGGCTTGCGTGGCAGCCGTGGGGGTTTCAGTGATGCTGCAAGGCAAGGAATGGGAATAAATGATCCCCGGGTTATAAAAGCGGCTGCTTGATGGTTTTATTGCACAGTAAAAACTTCACCAAAGTAGCCATACGTCTATACGGATATTTATATACGTATGTTTTCTATATGTCCATCCAAATAGTGCCTTCCCTTCTCCCCACATTCTGTGCGCGTTGCTGGAGATGGAATGGTTTGATGGGAGATGCTGTGGAGGTGAACAAGTATCACAGCCCCGTAGAACCTTCTGCATCCCTCCTTGCCCCTCTCCTGTTAAACACAGGCGATGTGTATCTGTCATCGATTTAATATGTCTTAATTCAAATATATACCCAGATCAATTTCTTTTTATGAGAGGCTATAAAAAAATGAAAATATTTTACAGCTGGCTAATAGGCAGCTGACCTGTGACTGTGGGGAGGGAGGGGTTGATGGAGACTCACGTGGAAATCCGCTCATTTTTAGGACTGGCTGCAAACGCCAGGAAAAGAAGGTGGCTGCCCGCGCAGAGACAATTTTGGACCCTGCCAGCTCCAAAAGAGCCATGAAGAATTTAAAGCCCATTAACTCACCGACACCAGCTCAGGCCCAGGCTGCCGCTGCCCTCTGGGGCTGCAGCAGAGGGGAGGCGTGCTGTGCTACCCCCACAGCCCCCCCACAACCTCGACAGCACCCGTCGAGGGTCGGAACGCGCCCCGTTCCCGCGGCGGAGCCGGCTGCAGAGCTCTCCCGCTGCGCTCCGCTCGCCGGCAAACCTGCCAAGGGACATCGGGGGAGGCTGCAGAGGCGAGGTGAAAGCCTGGAAGCCTTCACATTTATTTCATAAAGCTTCCTCTATAAACTGAGCTCGGGCTCTCGGCTTTAGGAGGTGTTTAACTGTAAAACGCTGTGCTGTGAGCTGCATTATGTAAATGTATGTTAATGACCATGAACATCATTTACAAACAATCGTCTTTAATGCACGTCTTATTGATAGTTAGGGAGCGGGGAGCAATATTTTATAATGTGTAAAACATTCTTCTGGGGAACCATTAGAAAGGGAGCGCGGTTGCCGCTTTCCTCGAGAAGACCTGCAAGACTCCCCAAATATGCTAGAAAAGCCTGCCTTCCTCCCAGCCCTTCGCGGGTGGCTTTCTACGCTCGTGGGGCTGCTTTGGGGCGCAGGGGAGCGTGTGGCACGGTTCCCTCCGAGAACATGCGCGACCAGGGGTGGAATCCGCCCGCAGCAGGAGGGAGCGCCCCGAGTCACAGCCCCGTGGAGACCCACACGGGCAGGACGTACCCACGGTACCCTGCTCACTGTCCTGTCAGCGGGATAGCAGGGAGGAGCCGGGACTTTGGCCGAGAGCTGCCCAGGCTGCCCAGGGGTACGAAAGGGAAAGAGAGTAGCGATATGGCAGTAAGACTCCCCACCCCTTCTTTATGGAGGGGCTCGGGAGATGGATAATTTATATTCTTAAAAAATTAAACTTATCCTGTGCCAAATGTCGTCGCTCCGTTCATCCAAGCGGGAGCCTGAGGCTGACACAAGGATTCGAGGTCGAGGCTAGGGGCTATCGGGACCGGGACCCACTGCATCTTTGGGACAGGGATTTACGAGCAGAAGTTTCGGAGCTGTCGTGTTCAGTGTGCGCCTCGTCAGGGAAGGAGGGACCATCACCTTTGGGCTTTGCTCAAACAGGGACAAAATAAGGGAAAAAAATCCATCTATCTATCATCTATCTATCTATCTATCTATCTATCTATCTATCTATCTATCTATCTATCTATCTGTCTGTCTATCTATCCATATATAGAAAGAAAGAAAGAGATAAAGAGAGAGGCGGTCTCAGGAAACCCAGGCCAAATTTTGCTCTGCTCTCTCTCTCTTTCCCACTTCCTCTCTCTCTGAACGTCACCGTTGGAAGAAGCTGTTGAGATAAATCAAATAGTGACACTTTGACGGCTTTACTTGTATAAGCAATATGGTTACCATATGGCATTGTTATTTATGAATGACAGCATAAATTGTATTACAAAGTCCATCGCGCTTTATTGGGACGCTTCTCCCCTGCCTCTAACGTTTATATGGGCATCTCCAGATGGAAAAAGGTGCTGCAGTGCTGCAGCAGACCCCATTTTGGAAGGCGTTGCGCCGGGTCTGTGCTGGCTGCAGATTGAGCGACGCAGTGGGGCAGGGCGCGCAAAATACGCGGCGCTGCGCGTCCCTCAGCCGCAGCTGGGCAGGGCAGAGGCACTGGCTGCCTCTCGGCCGAGGCTTCCGTCCTGGAAAAACAGTGCTACGCTGCTCCTGGCCCCCGCCGTCTCATGGCATTACCGCCGAGAGCGGGGTTTTATGTATATATATATATATATATAAGTGCAACTGAAGGAACAATAAATATTAATGGCACAAAAGCGAAGTGCTCCCTCCTTCTGTCTCTGCCCTGCCTTACGTATTTTTCTTTTATTTATTATATATCTTTTTTAATTTTAGATTTTAAAGAAGCGTTTAAAAGTTACAGCTTTAGCTGAGATTTTCATTATTTCCCCTTTTTCTTTTACATTACTCTGCCGGTAGAGCCTGACAAAGAACTTTTGTCTCGAAGTGTGTGTTTTACAGAGGGAGGCTACAGCACAACACATGTGGTCTTCACGGGTCATAGGTCGAACGGCCTAGAAGTGGCTCGGATCGGCACCATCAAAGGTAACCTGCAACTTAATATCCTGTTGATGAGCTTGTTGAATTTATGAGTGTCTGTGATACAGACAACGGTGCAAGTGATGCCGCTCAACCGGCATCTTCTCCCCAGGCTGCGGGCTGGCCACACTCCCCCTCTTCGACCCGCACCACGTCCCCTTACTGCGTTGGATGGCTGAATTTTGGGGGAAAGACACCCTCTTTCCCCTTTCTCTCTCACATGCACACACACTCGTCTGCGGTGGGACATTCCGCCTCTTTTTCCCTACGAGGCCGTCGCCAGCGGCATCCTCCCGTGGGCAGACTCCCCGGCCCCACCGCAGCCTGCGCCCCCACTGCCGCACCCACGGCTGCCAGGGAGGGGGGACAGAGAAAGGGGGCGCGGAGCCTCCCCACAGGGCGGTGACACCTCTCGGAAAAAGGGTTAGGAGAAGACAATATATACAGTCCGGGGGGAGCAAGAAATTGTTCTCCCCTCGTCCCGCCTCCCCCCCTCCACACCCCCC